AACAAACCAATTTATTTAGAAATCCTAAGAAAGCTTTTTTAAAGTTGTTTAACTAGCTCAGAAAAGCTTTTTCAATAAAATAGTTTAAAAAGCTATTACTTTAATTAATTCAAAAAAACTTTTTTCAATATCAAATGTTTTTAAAAAAGCTCATCATCTAAATTTGAAAAGCTCACAAATTTTTTATTTTAAAATTTAAAAAAAACTATTTATTTAGAAATCCCAAGAAAGCTTTTTTAAAGCTGTTTAAATAGCTCAAAAAAGCTTTTTAAATAAAATAGTTCAAAAAGCAGTTATTTTAAAAAATCTTTCAAAAAAAGCTTTTTTCCATATGAACTACTGACTTTAAAAAAACTTTGATGATAATTTTTATTAAAAATTAACTAATAGAAAAAGCTACCAAACTCTTAAAAATAAAATTAAATAAATTCAAAAGCTTTATTTAAATAACTTTGAAACGCATTTTCTTTAAAAAACTACAAAAAGTTTTTTTTAAAGACTAAAAAGCTTTTTCTTTAAAAAGAACAAAAGTAAAGTTTTAATAAATAAATTTATAAGCTTTTCTTTAAAGAAATGAGAACGTATTTTGCTTAAAAATTTAAACACATTTTTTTAAGCACCAAGAAACAACAAGATCCCAAAGCTATTTCTAAGAAGTTATTTTTTAAATAATTCAGAAAAGCTTTTTCTTATTTTCAATAAATCTATTAATAAGCTTTTTCTTTAAAGAAATGAAGAACAAAAAGCACCAAAAACTGTTTCTTTATTAAGCCCCCAAAACTTCAGGAAAGCTTTTTCTAAAAAATCTCTCTTTTTAATATCAATATAATTGGAATAAATTTATTAAAAAATCTCAAAAGAAGCTTTTTAAAAAACTTCAAAAAACGGGTTTCTTTAAAAAGTTCAAATAATCTTTCTTGTTAAATATTATCAAAAAGTTTTTTAATAAACTAAATCTGAAGCTTTTTCTAACTTTCAACAGTTGCTTAAAAGTATATTTTTTTATATCCTCCATAATTTTCTAAAACATTATTTTCCAATCCAACAAGTAATGTCCCCGAGGGTATGAACTACAGCGCCCTTTTATATTAATTATTTATTACAGCAATTAATTGCAGCTTTTTTGTAAAAGCCGCAACATTCCTCCGAATATGTATATATAAAAAAGGTCTTCTTTTCCCAACCACCACAAGAAAAAGGGGCACAAGTTCTGCTGATAAAAAATTACTTAAAAAAAGATTTTCCGCAGGCCAAACACCTTAACAAGTGCAAGTTTAATTATAGAAAATAAAAGCCGCATTCTGCAGCTTTACAAGCCACGGCTAACAGGCTGACAAAGTAAAATGCATTACAAAAGAATACAAAAAAGCCTAAAAACTAATTGCTGTAAAAATGATAATTATCTATAAAAAACTTTACAAATAAATAAATTACAACAAAAAGCTTACATAAATTAAACATAAGATCAACTTGAAAAGCAGAGACACAACAAGAACTTTTCAAAAGAAATTAAATACAAAAGACTAAAGAAACAAACTTTAAATAAGTCGCTTTAAAAACGACAACTTTGAAGCAACAAATATTAATGATGCTGTGCTAGAAATTCAATGTTAAATACCAAATACAAACAAAAATTGTAATAAATATTATTATATTTTTTGAGAATTTCTGTTACTGTCTGTATTTTTTATATAGTGGAAACAATTAATATGTGGCCTTATTTTTCCCGACGTTTAAACTAAAAAAACGAATGTATGTCTGTCTATCTCCCCATATGTTGCTTTAAAAGCTGTAACGTGGCTTGATACTGCACAGAAATTTCTGTTAAAGAACCAGTAACATGAAAGAATAAAAGTAGCTGGTAAAAAACTCTTTGATTACAACTACTTTCAAAATAAAAGTACTAATGTTTTCTTTTATTTCATTTCTTCTGTATTATTTTTTCTTATTCATCTTCATCTCCATCACAAGTTTGTTTTCCATTAGTCATTGAATAATAGTTTTAGGTTTTACTTTTCAATTAAAGCAAAAGTTTTCTTTTTGTATGTCAATGTTGTTTTTTTCTTTCTTTCTTCTCTTAATTGTTGTTCCACAAACTGACCGAAATTTTAGTTTGAAACAAAAACTTTAAAAACTAAAACGCTTTTATTTTTTTTTTTATTTTGGTTGCATTCAATTTCCCATAATTTGTTGAACAAGTATTAAAACCTGGTAGAACAAGTGAAATTATGTTTTAAAGAAGGTATTTAGGAAAGTGAAGAAAACATTTTGTAAAAGATAATTTTAATTTAAGAAACATAATTCTTTTTGTAGATTTTGATTGATTCAAATTTAATAGTTTTTATTGAAGAGAAATTTTATTAATGAGTGTGAGTTTATGTTTAATGATTTGTAATGAATTAACAAAAATCTATTGGTAATTATTTATTTAAATATTTAAAGTTTTTTGTTTATTTAATAATTGTGGGAAATATTGTGGTGAAGATGTTATTATCAAAAAGCTTTTTGTAGGGACTTAAAAAAGCTAGTTAGTTAGTTAGTTAGTTAGTTAGTTAGTTAGTTAGTTAGTTAGTTAGTTAGTTAGTTAGTTAGTTAGTTAGTTAGTTAGTTAGTTAGTTAGTTAGTAGTTAGTTAGTTAGTTAGTTAGTTAGTTAGTTAGTTAGTTAGTTAGTTAGTTAGTTAGTTAGTTAGTTAGTTAGTTAGTTAGTTAGTTAGTAGTTAGTTAGTTAGTTAGTTAGTTAGTTAGTTAGTTAGTTAGTTAGTTAGTTAGTTAGTTAGTTAGTTAGTTAGTTAGTAGTTAGTTAGTTAGTTAGTTAGTTAGTTAGTTAGTTAGTTAGTTAGTTAGTTAGTTAGTTAGTTAGTTAGTTAGTAGTTAGTTAGTTAGTTAGTTAGTTAGTTAGTTAGTTAGTTAGTTAGTTAGTAGTAGTTAGTTAGTTAGTTAGTTAGTTAGTTAGTTAGTTAGTTAGTTAGTTAGTTAGTTAGTTAGTTAGTTAGTTAGTTAGTTAGTTAGTTAGTTAGTTAGTTAGTTAGTTAGTTAGTTAGTTAGTTAGTTAGTTAGTTAGTTAGTTAGTTAGTTAGTTAGTTAGTTAGTTAGTTAGTTAGTTAGTTAGTTAGTTAGTTAGTTAGTTAGTTAGTTAGTTAGTTAGTTAGTTAGTTAGTTAGTTAGTTAGTTAGTTAGTTAGTTAGTTAGTTAGTTAGTTAGTTAGTAGTTAGTTAGTTAGTTAGTTAGTTAGTTAGTTAGTTAGTTAGTTAGTTAGTTAGTTAGTTAGTTAGTTAGTTAGTTAGTTAGTTAGTTAGTTAGTTAATTAATTTCATCAATAAGTTTAGAGCTTTTTATGTAAAAAGTTTTAACATACATTTATAAAGCTCTAAAAGCTTTTAAAGAAGATATTTTATAACAAATATGTATTTATAAAGTGATTTATAATACAAAATATGTTAAAATTTCTATAAACAACGAAAAAGCGTTTCTAGTAAAAAAGCTTCAATGCTTTGTTCTTAGAAAGAATTAAATAAATTTTAAAAGCTTTTTGTTTGAACAGCGTAAAAAGCAAAAAAAAAAAAAATTCAAAAGATTTCAAAAACATTTTTCCTTAAAAAGTTCAAAAACGTACTTGGTCGAAAAAAGCTCAAAAAAAATTATTGAACTGTTTTTTTCTTAAAAAAAACCCACAAAAGCTTTTTTTATTAAAAAACTTGTTTCTTTAAAAGCTCTAAAAAGCTTTATTATTAAAAATATTAAAAAAAGCTTTTCCCTTTGAACAGTTCGTAAAAGCTTTTTTGTTAAATCATAAAAGTTCTTCATTTCAAAAATTCTTTATTCTTTAAAAGCTCTTTAAAAAAACTTTTTTCTCTAAAAACTCCATAAAGCTTTCTTATTTAAAATATACGAAAAGCTTTTCCCTTTAAAATAGCAAAAAAGCTCAAAACATTATTATCCTTGAAAAGCTCTAAAAAGCTTGTTTTTTAAATGCCCGGAAACACTAAAAAAAAGTATTTTCTTAACAAAGTACAGATTAGCAGTTAATAACAATAAGAAGAATCTTGTTTCAAAAAAGCTCCCGTAAAGCTTAATGACTTTCCTAAATAAGCCATAAACAAAAATTGAAAATTATTAATTTCTTTATATTTGTATTTTCTTTAAAACATGGTCATATATATTCTTTTAAAAAAAGCTTAAAGCTTTAATTTTTAATGTTTTAAATGATTTTTTTTTGACAATTGACCCACTTTCGTTTATATAATCCATTTATATAACAAATTACAAAAATTTAACAAACTTTGTTTTTTGTATTAATTAATCAAAAACTAATTAAATGAAACATTTAGCTATTTGATCAACATCTTATTTTCTAAGAACTTAAGCAACCGTTAGATTTATTTCGAAGATAACTTTCAAGAATAAACAACAAAAAAGAAAACGTCTAACTAACTACCCTACTGTGACTGCTGAAAATTTTTGAACTTCTTAACAGTTATAAAACACAATCAAAACATGAATCAGCCAAAAAAAAAAAAAAAAGATCTATAAAATATTCAAAACTTACAGCTGGCTAATTTGCTATAGAACAAAATAAGAAAGAATAAAAATAGTTAATTGATTTTTTTTCTTAAACACCAGAAAGCTTTTAGTTGTTAAGGCATAAATTGGGTTGTAGTTTAATTAAAAATAAAGAAGAATGAATGAAAAAAACGTTACTTGCAGCTTCTTGAACAAATGCTTAAAGCAGCAGCATCGTGATTATCATGTTTTCAACCGACAGAATCATAATTCAAATGGGTTTGAGATTTTTTGTTAAGTTACCAACTGCTTAAAGTTAAGACAGAAACGTTTTTTGAGGGCTGCAGTTAATAAATTTGATTTATGACAGCAACGTGATTTAAAGGAATTTTACAAACATTTCTGTGCTTTTTTTTAGTTTAATTAGCAACATTTGTTATTTTTGTAATATAAATAATATTTCATTTTTTTTTTTTTTTTCTTTTTATTTTAATTACAGATTTATGCACAAGAGTCTGCCTCACCCGAATTTGCACCCCATGTCTCGGCCACCTGTAAAGCGGGCACCATGAACATTAAAGTCAAATTGGATGGACCCTATACGGGTGCAGTACATGCCCGTGATCATCGTACACCAGCTTGTATGGCCATGGGCGATGGTTCAGATTCAGTGGGTTTCAGTATCAATATTTTAGCCAAACAGGGTTCGCCAGACTATTGTGGTGTTTTGGTCAGCAACGTGAGTGGATACAATAATGTAAGCTAATCAAGTTGCTTTTACTAAAACAAAAACTATTTTAACTACAGTTTTACTTAATAATAAAGAAAAAACAAAAGAAAAGTAAAAGAGGAAATATTTTTAAAACCTTATCAATTTTCTTAGTAAATCAAGTCGAACTTTTCTATTTTGTTTTGTTGCTGCTGCTGCTGCAGCACAAATGTTGCAGAAAAATTACTTTACATAAACTCTTTGAAAGCTGTATGCATGTATATTGAGTATTTTACTTTATTGTTGCATTACATAATAACTTTGTTAAAGAAAAATCACCTTAACTGAGTCAATGAACGGGTTTTTCTTTTTGATCATTAAACAAAAAAAACAGGGAAATTAATAAAAAAACACAACAACAACAACATTAAATACAAGGGGTAATAAAGCAGAAAAAATAAGTGAAATTTATGTGTTTTTAGTGTAATAATTGTAGTTGTACTAGTTTTATATTTTTCCTCAATTTCCATAATAAACACATTTCATTTTGGCGCTCTAGACAAAAGACAACGTAAAAAAACTCAAATGAAAACAAAAGACTTGGACAACAAACTTGAAAATGCGTAGTTTCAAGTTTTGTATGTTTTTGTTTGTTATTGTTGTTGCAAAAATGTGTGTTTATTTGAAAAGTCTCCACAAATTCAGTTGTTAGGTGCAAAAAACAAAAGACTTAGACAACAAAATTTATATTGCGTAAATTATTCATATATTTTATTATAAAAAAAAAACAAAATTCACACCGGAAAACAATGCAAACTATAAACGGCCTAATATTGTTTGTGTGAGAAAACTTAAGACTTTGTTAAAGAAATGTGTTAATAAGTAGTTTTTTGTGTTTTTTTTTTTGCCAACTAAATGGTTTTAACCATAACTTTATGCAATAATTTTTATTAACTTTATTTTGTTAAGCTATTACTGAACGTATAGAGAGCATTCTTTATTCTTTTGAAAAAAAAAAAATTAAAAACATTTTTATACAATTTTAAGTAAAAAATTTTCTGCCAATGAAATTATAGAAAATTATTTGTTCATTTATTTCCAAATAGTTTGCTCTTAAATAAAATTTTGTTAAAAGAAAGTAGTTTCTTGACATGTACTTACTTGACTCTAAAACAAATATTTCTTTTATTAAATAAATAAATAAATAGTTTATCAATAGATTTTCATTCATATTCCTCTAGACAGAGGAAGCGATTGTTTATTTTAAAAAAAATCGTATTCCCTGAAAAGATTTTTATTTGAACAGCGTTAAAAAGGTTTTTTTTTATGAAAAGTTAAATAAGCTTTTTCTTTGAAAATCTTAAAAGCTTATACCCTTTGTAGAGGACAAAAATATTTTCGAAAAAGCTTCAAAAGCTTTTGAGAGCTTTTCCTTGCGAAGCTTTTCAATTAAAAGCTTCTTCATTTAAAATATTAAAAAAGTTTTTTTCTTTTAAAAATTTTACTTTAAAAAGCTTAAAAAGCTGGTTGTTTTCCAATTTTTTTTTTTAAATCGGAATTTTTGTTTGTTTCATTTCAAAAAATGTTTTTTGTCAAAAAGTTTTTCTTGTTTAAAATTTTAAAAATCTTTTTTGTGAAAAGCTTAAAATATTTTTTATTAAAAAAATTTCAAAAAATTACTTTGGTTTAAAAATTGTTTTTTATTAAAAATCTCAAAAAAGAGCCTCTTGTTTGAAAAGCTCAAAAAGTAGTTCTGTTTGATGAGCTTAAAGAAATTCAAGTAAGCTTTCTATTAAAAAACATCAAAAATATAGTTTTTTGCTTAAAAAGGTCAAAAAATGTTTTCTTTAAAAAATGTTTTCTTTCTTAAAACAAGTTTTCCTTAAACAACAGAAAATTTTGTTCCCTTAAAAAACATTATTTTTTAAAAATAATCTTCCTCTAAAAACGTCAAAGCTCTATAAGAAAAAACATTAAAAAGTTCTTATTGCTTTCCGGTGCAATAAAGTATTCTGTACTTTTGTGAAATGAGTCTGATCTGATGAAAAAAGTCTCATTAAAGCTAAGTTTGCACTGCTTTTCGAAGCAGTAAAAGCTTCTCGTTAAAAGCATAAAGTTTGCTTTCATCAAAAGCTAAAACTACAAAAAGCATGAGCAACCCTTTTTTATCCAAGTTCTCACTGGTCTCCGGGTCAGTAAAAGCGTCCGATCATTCGTTAAAATTGTAAGGAGATTTGTGCTAAGTTATAAGGCGAGTAAAAGCTCTATACAAAGGAAAGCTTTCATGCTTAAACTTGAACTGCACTCCAGGAGGTAGAAAAAATCATATACTTACAAACGTTAATCCTTAGAGAGTTCAATTTTGAACTGTAAATTGCTTCTGACCTTGAAATAACTATTAATTTAGAAATTTAACTTATACTTTTTATTTACTGGTATAATTAGCTTAAACTTTCAAAACAATTCATTATAAACTATTGTAAAGCAAAGAAACAAAATCATTAATTTAAAAAGTAATTTACAACATTTGTAAGATAAAAATCTTCTAGCGACCATTATTAAGACAAATTAGCAATTATTTTTTTTTTCCTTAAAACACTAAAAAGAACAAATGCACAGTTTTAGTTATCACAAAACAAAAGACTTAGAAAACGAACTACATTTGTTTAGTTACGCCCGGATTTATGTAAATATTTAAGGTTTTAAGTAAACTTTACTTAAAATGCTTTAGAGGCAATAAATTTAATTTTTCTTATTTTGTGTTTATTTGTTAAAAATCGCGTAGTAAAAAACGAAAACCATAAAAATATTTTTTGCATAGTTTTTCGTCTTGTCATACTTTCAAATGGAGCACATGGACTGGATAGAAACGCTAGCAGTTATGGACGTAACAGCCATAAGTCTAATGGTGAATTTGTTTTGTTTTTCTTTTCAACAAAACGACCTGAATACAAAGACTTTAAACAAACATAAACATGTTTTGAAAACTTAAATGAAATAAAATACATTAATATGTTGTATGTTTAAGTTGGTATGAGTGTTTGTTTGTATGTTTTCTTAACAAACACATACAACAGAAGGAATGACACTCCCTTAAAACAAAAACCAACACTAAATGAAAACATTAACAAACAGCCAAAGTCTCTTAGAAGTTTTATGGGGAAAAACTAGAAAAAAATGGATTGCTGTGTTTGTTGGTTTTTTCTAGGTGCAACAATAAATTATTTAAAGTGGCCATAAACTATGAATTGTGTTGCATGTAGATTACTGAGCGGAGTAGTGGTCAGGATTGGTCTGTGTAGTATGGAGTTTTGAGGCATATCAGCATGTTTCTCTTTCATTTCATTCTTTTAGAGTTGGACGTGTTGGTTGTAGGTTGCCAAAATCTAACATTGTTTCTATATTTATTTTTATTCGATATGAATATTTAGCTTGTAGCTGCTGTTAACAACAATCAACACCTAGATTTTCTTTATTCTGTTGTGTTCAACTCATTCTTTGTTAAGATTTTAATTCTTTTTTGTATGTTAAACGTGCAAAAACAGAAATAATTTACGTTTTTTTTGCTCATTATAAGGTTTAACAAAGGAATAATAAAACTCCATAAGCTGTCTTTTGTGTTTATTTTATAACACAATATTTTGCTGGGTTTTCTACGAAATAAATTCTCATAAAATTTTATGTTAATGTCCTACAATTTTCAAATAAGTACACATTTATCTCTACAAAATCTAATTTTATCACTTTTATAAACTCCACTAATAAATGATTTATAAAGGTTATTTGCAACTACCAAAAGGATTAATATGAACAAACCAACCAACGAGAGTAAACAAATAAGTACCTAATAAAATATCAAAATAATAAAAAACTATTAAACGCCCTAAAAAAAAAGCTTCACCATTGACAGCTTTAAAGTAACACTAATCAATTAATACTAAATGCTCAATTAATTGTTTTTCGCCTAAACAGCTTTTTAGCATAGCCATTTGAACACTAAATTTAAATTCGAAAATTTAATTCTAAAAATTATTTCTTTGGAAATTAATTTCACCGTCACACATTAAAAATTGTCATTTAAGCAGCAAATTTATAATCCCCATTAAGGCTTCTTATTATTAATGACCAACTACATTTAATTGTGGTTAATTTATTAATAGTTAATAGTAGTTACTAAATTTATTGCTTTTATTTATTATCTCATTTTATTTTATTTAATTTATTTATTTATTTATTTATTTCATAAATTTATTTCTTGTTTAGCGCACCGAAGAAAGATCTATACAATTGGCGGTAAGAGTTCACAAAACTTTGGAATTGGCAGATGATAAATTTTATGTGATCACTTGTGGCAAGGCGGGTTTTGGAAGGTGAGTTGGAAATGTGAAAATTAAATAAAAATTGTATGTTTGGTTGCAAAGAATCAAATAAATACTACATCTTAAAAAACTTAAAAGAATATTTTCAGTTCTAGTTCAGTTCTGGTTCAGTTCTAGTTCAGTTCTAGTTCAGTTCTAGTTCAGTTCTAGTTCAGTTCTAGTTCAGTTCTAGTTCAGTTCTAGTTCAGTTCTAGTTCAGTTCTAGTTCAGTTCTAGTTCAGTTCTAGTTCAATTCTAGTTCAGTTCTAGTTCAGTTCTAGTTCAGTTCTAGTTCAGTTCTAGTTCAGTTCTAGTTCAGTTCTAGTTCAGTTCTAGTTCAGTTTAGTTCAGTTCTAGTTCAGTTCTAGTTCAGTTCTAGTTCAGTTCTAGTTCAGTTCTAGTTTCAGTTCTAGTTCAGTTCTAGTTCAGTTCTAGTTCAGTTCTAGTTCAGTTCTAGTTCAGTTCTAGTTCAGTTCTAGTTCAGTTCTAGTTCAGTTCTAGTTCTTTTCTAGTTCAGTTTCTAGTTCAGTTCTAGTTCAGTTTTTTTTCTTTTTTCTAGTTTTTTTTTCAGTTCTAGTTCAGTTCTAGTTCAGTTCTAGTTCAGTTCTAGTTCAGTTCTAGTTCAGTTCTAGTTCAGTTCTAGTTCAGTTCTAGTTCAGTTCTAGTTCAGTTCTAGTTCAGTTCTAGTTCAGTTCTAGTTCAGTTCTAGTTCAGTTCTAGTTCAGTTCTAGTTCAGTCTAGTTCAGTTCTAGTTCAGTTCTAGTTCAGTTCTAGTTCAGTTCTAGTTCAGTTCTAGTTCAGTTCTAGTTCAGTTCTAGTTCAGTTCTAGTTCAGTTCTAGTTCAGTTCTAGTTCAGTTCTAGTTCAGTTCTAGTTCAGTTCTAGTTCAGTTCTAGTTCAGTTCTAGTTCAGTTCTAGTTCAGTTCTAGTTCAGTTCTAGTTCAGTTCTAGTTCAGTTCTAGTTCAGTTCTAGTTCAGTTCTAGTTCAGTTCTAGTTCAGTTCTAGTTCAGTTCTAGTTCAGTTCTAGTTCAGTTCTAGTTCAGTTCTAGTTCAGTTCTAGTTCTAGTTCAGTTCTAGTTCAGTTCTAGTTCAGTTCTAGTTCAGTTCTAGTTCAGTTCTAGTTCAGTTCTAGTTCAGTTCTAGTTCAGTTCTAGTTCAGTTCTAGTTCAGTTCTAGTTCAGTTCTAGTTCAGTTCTAGTTCAGTTCTAGTTCAGTTCTAGTTCAGTTCTAGTTCAGTTCTAGTTCAGTTCTAGTTCAGTTCTAGTTCAGTTCTAGTTCAGTTCTAGTTCAGTTCTAGTTCAGTTCTAGTTCAGTTCTAGTTCAGTTCTAGTTTTCTAGTTCAGTTCTAGTTCAGTTCTAGTTCAGTTCTAGTTCAGTTCTAGTTCAGTTCTAGTTCAGTTCTAGTTCAGTTCTAGTTCAGTTCTAGTTCAGTTCTAGTTCAGTTCTAGTTCAGTTCTAGTTCAGTTCTAGTTCAGTTCTAGTTCAGTTTCTAGTTCAGTTCTAGTTCAGTTCTAGTTCAGTTCTAGTTCAGTTCTAGTTCAGTTCTAGTTCAGTTCTAGTTCAGTTCTAGTTCAGTTCTAGTTCAGTTCTAGTTCAGTTCTAGTTCAGTTCTAGTTCAGTTCTAGTTCAGTTCTAGTTCAGTTCTAGTTCAGTTCTAGTTCAGTTCTAGTTCAGTTCTAGTTCAGTTCTAGTTCAGTTCTAGTTCAGTTCTAGTTCAGTTCTAGTTCAGTTCTAGTTCAGTTCTAGTTCAGTTCTAGTTCAGTTCTAGTTCAGTTCTAGTTCAGTTCTAGTTCAGTTCTAGTTCAGTTCTAGTTCAGTTCTAGTTTAGTTCTAGTTTAGTTCTAGTTCAGTTCTAGTTCAGTTCTAGTTTAGTTCTAGTTCAGTTCTAGAAATATTTCTTTTTGATTTGTGAGAATAAAATCACTGAAGTCGGTCACTATACATATATCGATGGTTAAGTTTAGCGATCACAGAAAATTGTAAATCAAAAAGTGATAAAAACTAATGATCGTTTCTACTTAAACTTTCAGTTGCATTGTTTTTTGTTGTATTTCAAACACAAAACTATAAATACTTATTTAACATCTTAAAATTGAATTAAAAATTTCTTGTCTTGCCTCTTTTGGCCATTAAGTATATTTTTGACTTAAATAAGTGTTATTTCTTAAAAAAAAAACACTTCATTGTCAGTCCAAATCTGTTACAGACACAAAAAGTGACTTCATAATGTTTGAAAACGTAAAATTACGTGGGTTTTGCATAATAATGTTTAATTTTTTCTTTTATTTATTTATTTTTTTTTGTCTACTCTTATTTATTTTCTGCTATTTTGTTAAAAACCATTGAACTCCGTATTAAAGAAAATAATGCATGTAGGAGTAGAGCAAATATAACTATTTCAAAGGCGTTCACACTTATTAATGAAAAAATATATATTTTGATATATTGTTTCAATTGCAAAATTTTTTAAAAATATATCAAAATTTTCCTTTACAAAATTGTTAAATACATAGGTATTACCTAAATACGCAATTAAAATTATTTTGCCAATCCATTTACGCATTAGAAAATATTGTTTTGGAAAACAACAAATTGTTATAAATATGTATTTAAAAAAAAATTAAACAAAAAAGCCCAACTAAAGGAAAACAGCCATAACTATAAAAAAATAGTAATAAACAAATATAATAAAAAAATTAAATAATAATTTACGCTCTGTTAAATACATTTTGCTGATACAATTTAAGTTTAACATGATTTTTAGTTGTTTTTTTTTTGATATTTTTTTTTAATTTAAGTATTGTAGTTGTTTTTTTGTTTAAACCGGTAATACCACTGTTAAACAATGTTGGCCATCTGTATTTAGTTGTGAACCAAAAATTCAATACCCCCAGTAATACTAATAAAACACTCGAGTTTTTGTTGGAGCTCTCTCTCCGCCCCTCAAGCTCCTTTCCTAGCTACACTTGGACAACTGTCCATGCATAACCTGCAAAAATATTTAGATTGCGCAATTGTTAGGAAAATTAAATAACAACAGAGCAACTACAATAACAATAACAACAACATGAACTAAAACAAAATGAAACGCTACTAAAATTGAAATTATTTATATGTAACAACAATGTTGTTGTTTACTTCCATATTTTGTTTAACAAAACTTTTGTTGAAATCAATTTGCACGCTCCAGCCCCTTGGCCTCCCTGAGAGGGTTGTCTTGGGATGATTGCAAACGTCTAGCAATTATGTTGAATAAAATAGTAGTATTGCTGTTGAATAATATGTGGCTTTTAACAATTGATGTGATCTGTTACATATTTGGAATATTTTAAAATACTAACGCTGTGCAGCACAAGGGTCGGGACCATTAAATTTATTATTAAATTGGGCCAGTTACTGGCTTTAATTTCGACTAGAAATTGGACCAGTTTCTGGATTTGATCTTGTCTTGAAATTGAACCAGTTACTGGTTATGATTTCGTCTAGAAATTGGACCAGTTACTGGTTACGATTTCGACTAGAAATTGGACCAGTTACTGGTTACGATTTCGACTAGAAATTGGGCCAGTTAAGTGCTCAATTTTGTATAGAAATTGGCCTCGTTACTGGCTCTAGTTGGTGGTTCTAATTTTGACTCGAAATTGGTCCAGTTACTGGCTCTAATTTCGTTTAAATATTGGGCCGGTTACCGGCTCTAAATTCGACTAGAAAATAGAGCAATAACTGACTTTGATTTTGTCTACAAATTAGGCCAGTTTTGGACTCCAATTTGGTATAGAATTTAGACTCGTTAATGGATCTGGTTAGTAGCTCTAATTTCGATTAGAAATTGGGTCAATTATTGACATTAATTTTGACTAGAAAGTGGCAATTACTTACTTTGATTTCGTCTAGATATTAGGCCAGTTACGTGCTCTAATTTTGCATAGAAATTGGGCTGTTTACTGGCTCTAATTCCGACTAGAAATTAGATTATTTACTAGCCCTAATTTCGACTAGAATTTGGCCTGATATTGACTCTGATTTTGACTAGAAATTCGACCAGTTACTAGGTATGATTTCGTCTAGAATTAGGCCAGTTACTTGCTCCATTTTGTATAGAAATTAGGCTCGTTACTGGCTCTAGTTGGTGGTTATAATTTTGACTAGAAATTGGACTAGTTACTGCCTCTAATTTCGTCTAAATATTGGGCCAGTTATTGGCTCTAAATTCGACTAGAAATTAGAGCAGTAACTGACTTTGATTTTGTCTACAAATTAGGCCAGTTTTTGGCTCTAATTTGGTATAGAATTTAGACTCGTAACTGGCTGTGGTTAGTAGCTCTAATTTCGATAAGAAACTGGGTCAACTGGTCTAATTTCAACTAGAATTTGGACCTAATACTGGATATGATTTTGACTAGAAATTCGACCAGTTACTGGCTGTGATTTCGTCTAGAATTAGGCCAGTTATGGGATCGATTTTGTATAGAAATTGGGCTCTTTACTGGCTCTAGTTGGTGGTTCAATTTTGTTTAGAAATTGGAAAAGTTACTAGCTTAAATTTCCGGAAATTCGACCAGTTACAGGCAATGATTCCGTCTAGAAATTAGGCCATTTAAGAAATCTGATTTTGTCTAGAAATTGGACTCGTTACTGGCTCTAGTTGGTGGGTCCTATTTCGTCAATTAATAACATTATCTCATGTTGCAGAAATTGTTATAGTGTGAAATAACGTAGCGCTATTTAAAAGTCGCCTTAACTCCACATACATTTTTTTCTTTACAAATTGTTGCAAAAAAATTGCAGTTAGTCTTAGATTGGTCATATTTGCCCCAAGGCATGCAATAATTGATCTGACATCAAAAACAAAAAAAAAAAAATAAATCTAGGAAAATAAAACTTGCAACAATTTAATAATTTTTATTGTTTTTACTCTTTAACTAATGTATCTGTTTCTTTATTTTATTATTATTTTTTTTCATTACAATTGACAGGGATGACAACGCACATGTAGTTTTGAAATTCTTGCAGAATGATCGACGTGTAAGAGAAACGGTTTATGGTCATGAATATAAAATACGTGCCGAGTTTACTAAGCCAAATGGTAAGTAACCAAAAATAAAATACAATATTAAATAATAAACCACAGATAAACAGCTTATATGTACATATCTGTTTTCTTTCCACTACAACTGATATTGAAATTGCACAAAACTCTAAACAGTGCTTGTTTAAAATTAACGAAATTTTGCCTAAGGCCTATTAAGCTTTCTTAAGTATTTGCTGTAGGTAAATTTAAGCAAACAACCAAAAAAAAATAGAACTCGAAATTGATTTTTAAAATTCCACTTAAGTAAATTAAAAAAGAATTTGTTTGTCTTGTGATCTACTATTTTGATTTATTGATTTACTTCCTCATTCTTTAAATAAGTAGAAAACAGAAACTAGTTAAAAAACTGAGTGACACCAAAAGCTTTGTAAGAAATTAGAACCTAAAATAAATTTGTTTCTTTTTAGGCACCCATGGCATACGTGTGGGCAACTGTTTAGCTTTTGATAAGAAAAATCTAAGTTTGCCTTTGATTGATGAAAGAGGGTGAGTTTTTGTTGAATTTTAAAAGTATATTTTTTCAATTTATAGTGTACTTTAATTTATTTTCATATATAGCTGCCCCTTGGATCCTGCCATTATCTCACGTTTTGTACCCAGTGCCGATGGTAACTATGCTGAAGCCACCATGAAATCTATGTTCAAATTCCCTGAAGGTAAGTTGACAAATACTGATCTACTATCTAAATATACTGATCTAGATATAGAGCTAGTTACTGCTTCTAAGAGAGCTCAAGCTAGTCTTTAAATAGGGTTAGTTTCTAACCCTAGTTTCTAGAAATTGGGCTAGTTACTGTTACTAATTTCGCTTAGAAATAGAGATAGTTGCTGACTCTAATTTCGTCCAGAAATTGACGAAATGAGTTACAGTTACTGTAACACTCATAGACTATAGTCTAGTCTATAGTCTAGTCTATAGTCTAGTCTATAGTCTAGTCTATAGTCTAGTCTATAGTCTAGTCTATAGTCTAGTCTATAGTCTAGTCTATAGTCTAGTCTATAGTCTAGTCTATAGTCTAGTCTATAGTCTAGTCTATAGTCTAGTCTATAGTCTAGTCTATAGTCTAGTCTATAGTCTAGTCTATAGTCTAGTCTATAGTCTAGTCTATAGTCTAGTCTATAGTCTAGTCTATAGTCTAGTCTATAGTCTAGTCTATAGTCTAGTCTATAGTCTAGTCTATAGTCTAGTCTATAGTCTAGTCTATAGTCTAGTCTATAGTCTAGTCTATAGTCTAGTCTATAGTCTAGTCTATAGTCTAGTCTATAGTCTAGTCTATAGTCTAGTCTATAGTCTAGTCTATAGTCTAGTCTATAGTCTAGTATAGTCTAGTCTAGTCTATAGTCTAGTCTATAGTCTAGTCTATAGTCTAGTCTATAGTCTAGTCTATAGTCTAGTCTATAGTCTAGTCTATAGTCTAGTCTATAGTCTAGTCTATAGTCTAGTCTATAGTCTAGTCTATAGTCTAGTCTATAGTCTAGTCTATAGTCTAGTCTATAGTCTAGTCTATAGTCTAGTCTATAGTCTAGTCTATAGTCTAGTCTATAGTCTAGTCTATAGTCTAGTCTATAGTCTAGTCTATAGTCTAGTCTATAGTCTAGTCTATAGTCTAGTCTATAGTCTAGTCTATAGTCTAGTCTATAGTCTAGTCTATAGTCTAGTCTATAGTCTAGTCTATAGTCTAGTCTATAGTCTAGTCTATAGTCTAGTCTATAGTCTAGTCTATAGTCTAGTCTATAGTCTAGTCTATAGTCTAGTCTATAGTCTAGTCTATAGTCTAGTCTATAGTCTAGTCTATAGTCTAGTCTATAGTCTAGTCTATAGTCTAGTCTATAGTCTAGTCTATAGTCTAGTCTATAGTCTAGTCTATAGTCTAGTCTATAGTCTAGTCTATAGTCTAGTCTATAGTCTAGTCTATAGTCTACTAGTATAGTCTAGTCTAGTCTAGTCTAGTCTAGTCTAGTCTAGTCTAGTCTAGTCTAGTCTAGTCTAGTCTAGTCTAGTCTAGTCTATAGTCTATAGTCTATAGTCTATAGTCTATAGTCTATAATATATAGTCTATAGTCTATAGTCTGTAGTCTATAGTCTATAGTCTATAGTCTATAGTCTATAGTCTATAGTCTATAGTCTATAGTCTAGTCTAGTCTATAGTCTAGTCTATAGTCTAGTCTATAGTCTAGACTATAGTCTAGTCTATAGTCTAGTCTATAGTCTAGTCTATAGTCTAGTCTATAGTCTAGTCTATAGTCAGTCTATAGTCTAGTCTATAGTCTAGTACTATAGTCTAGTCTATAGTCAGTCTATAGTCTAGTCTAATAGTCTAGTCTATAGTCTAGTCTATAGTCTAGTCTATAGTCTAGTCTATAGTCTAGTCTATAGTCTAGTCTATAGTCTAGTCTATGTCTAGTCTATAGTCTAGTCTATAGTCTAGTCTATAGTCCTAGTCTATAGTCTAGTCTATAGTCTAGTCTATAGTCTAGTCTATAGTCTAGTCTATAAGTCTAGTCTATAGTCTAGTCTATGTCTAGTAGTCTAGTCTATAGTCTAGTCTATAGTCTAGTCTATAGTCTAGTCTATAGTCCTAGTCTATAGTCTAGTCTATAGTCTAGTCTATAGTCTAGTCTATAGTCTAGTCTATAGTCTAGTCTATAGTCTAGTCTATAGTCTAGTCTATAGTCTAGTCTATAGGTCCTATTTATCTAGTCTATAGTCTAGTCTATAGTCTAGTCTATAGTCTAGTCTATAGTCTAGTCTATAGTCTAGTCTATAGTCTAGTCTATAGTCTAGTCTATAGTCTAGTCTATAGTCTAGTCTATAGTCTAGTCTATAGTCTAGTCTATAGTCTAGTCTATAGTCTAGTCTATAGTCTAGTCTAATAGTCTAGTCATAGTCCTAGTCTATAGTCTAGTCTATAGTCGAGTCTATAGTCTAGTCTATAGTCTAGTCTATAGTCTAGTCTATAGTCTAGTCTATAGTCTAGTCTATAGTCTAGTCTATAGTCTAGTCTATAGTCTAGTCTATAGTCTAGTCTATAGTCTAGTCTATAGTCTAGTCTATAGTCTAGTCTATAGTCTAGTCTATAGTCTAGTCTATAGTCTAGTCTATAGTCTAGTCTATAGTCTAGTCTATAGTCTAGTCTATAGTCTAGTCTATAGTCTAGTCATAGTCTAGTCTATAGTCTAGTCTATAGTCTAGTCTATAGTCTAGTCTATAGTCTAGTCTATAGTCTAGTCTATAGTCTAGTCTATAGTCTAGTCTATAGTCTAGTCTATAGTCTAGTCTATAGTCTAGTCTATAGTCTAGTCTATAGTCTAGTCTATAGTCTAGTCTATAGTCTAGTCTAGTAGTCTATAGTCTAGTCTATAGTCTAGTCTATAGTCTAGTCTATAGTCTAGTCTATAGTCTAGTCTATAGTCTAGTCTATAGTCTAGTCTATAGTCTAGTCTATAGTCTAGTCTAGTCTAGTCTAGTCTAGTCTAGTCTAGTCTAGTCTAGTCTAGTCTATAGTCTAGTCTATAGTCTAGTCTATAGTCTAGTCTATAGTCTAGTCTATAGTCTAGTCTATAGTCTAGTCTATAGTCTAGTCTGGAACAAAATAGAATATTATTCTAATTCCCAAACAATTCTTATACTTCCAGGTTCCGAAGTTCATTTGCAATGTGATGTTATCCAATGTTTTGGACGCTGTATCGATGAGGAAGATTGTAATCAAGTAGCCATAGCTAGTGCTGGTTATACCAAAGGCTCTTCCGGACCACCTAGAAAAACCTATCCAAACGAAGAAGGCCAAAGTATTGCAGGAACAACAGTATTTGTCTTAGATCCCGCAGAAGCACCTTGTAACTATCACCACAAATAATTATAAATTTAAAAAAAATACTAATAATATTTTCACACTTTAACTAGACACTGCCGCTGACTGTGAAGAAGGCATACGACCAACCTGGTTATTATGGCTGGCCATTACCCTGGGTGTTTTATTCCTCATTATGTTGTTGATGAACATATTCCTTTGCACAGCCATGAGTTGTAGTTGTGCCAATACAGAGGTTTGTGGAAATAATATTTTTCTAATTATTTTCTAATTTTTATCCTCAATATATTTGCTTTTTTTCAATTTCCAGATAATTGAAAAGGAGCCATCCATTATTGAAGAATATGATCCCTATAGAAGTTGGCATGGTAGTCAATATGGTTCACGTTACTCACTGCATGGACGTGATGCTCACAAAGGTTATACCAGTGGCGGTTCAACTATACATTCGAATAGGTCTGATAGATATTAAGCTCTTAAATAAAAAAAACAACATATACTGCAAACAACAACAATTTAAGACAACAACACACAAACAACAACAAAAACACCTTTTTAATACATTCTGTTTTTAATAATATTTTTCTCTTTTTTTATATTTAAATTGATTTGTTTGCAAATTTATCTTTATTACTAAATATTTAAGTGTGTGTGTATGTGTATTGTGGTTTGATGTTCAAATGCAATGTGTTCATTGCATGCCTTCTATTACATTCTCGTTTTGTTTTTCACTTTTAGTTTTTATTATTATATTTTCTTATCTATTTCCTTTTATTATTATTTATTTGGTTTTATATTTCATTTCTATTTAAAACAAAAACAGAAGCGTACGTACCACCAATAATTTGAAATTAATATTTATTTTGAAAAATGTTAAAGAAAAAAAAAAAAAACAAATTGTTTGGATTTATTGCCACTTAATATAATGTATGTAATTTTACTTTTATTTTTTTATCTATTTTTATTAGCTGTAGTAGTAACTAATTAACACAAAATCTATATTTTATTATAATTAAATGAAATAGAAAAGGCAGTGGAGTATTAAAGCGGAACCGGATATGATTAGGAAGTTTCATGGAAAATTGATTTATGCATTTAAATGTAGGGTATTTCAATTAGGAATTACTTTTATTTTAAAAAGCTATATTATTTCATGCTATTTATCATAAAAAGCTTTAAAATCTTCCTCTAAAAATCTAATATTTGTATAAGCTCTGCAAAACTTTTTTATTAAAAGCTATACAAAGCTTTTATTATTAAAAGCTATACTAAGCTTTTAGCTTTACAAAGCTTTTATTATTAAAAGCTCTACAAAGCTTTTATCATTAAAAGCTTTACGAATCTTTTATTGTAAAAGGATTTCCAAAAAGTTTTTGATATAAAGCTTTTATTATTAAAAGCTCTGCAAAAAGCTTTTGTTATTAAATGTTTTACGAAGCTTTTATTATTATATAGCTCTACAAAGTTTTTATTTCCAAAAAGTTTATCCATTATAAAAGTTCTGCAAAAAGCTTTTATTATTAAAGATTCTACAAAGCTTTTATTATTATAAAGCTCTACAAAGTTTTTATTATTAAGAAGCTATCAAAAACGTTTTTCATATAGAGCACGAAAAAAAACATTTTTTCTTGAATAGTGTCTTTTCCAAACAAAGTTTTTTCATCAGAAGCTCTTAAAAACTTTTCTGATAAAAAGCTTTTATTGTTTTTCTTCAAAAGTTCTAAAGAGTATTTATCTTAAAAACTGTAAAAAAAAACTTTATTTTTAAAAAGCCTTAATAAGGTTTTTACATGAAAAGCTCTAAAGCTCTTTTTCATAGAAAGATCTAGAAAGCTATTTCATAAAAAGTTCTAAATGCTTTCTTCATTCGAAAAGCTCAGAAACGTTTTCTTGCATTAAAAGCTTTTTTCACAAAAATATATTAGAAGCGTCTTTCATAAATGATCTAAAAGGTTTTGTAAAAATTCTAAAAGTTATTTTCCATAAAAAACTATAAATAGCTTTTTTTATAAAAAAGTAAAAAAAAAAAATCATAAAATGTTTTTTTTACTAAAAGCTTTGAAAGCTTTCTTCATTAAAAGCTATGAAAAGCGTTTTTCATTAAAAGCTATGAAAAACGTTTTTCATAAAAAGTTATTAAAAGCTTTTTTATAAAAAGCTATAAAAAGCTTTTTTTCATAAAATTCTTTTCATAAAAAGTAACTTTTTTTTACTAAAAGCTTTGAATGCTTTCTTTTCATGAAAAGCTATAAAAAGCTTTTTTCTAAAAAGCTTTTAATAAAAATATTTTTTCATAAAAAGCTTTATAAAATAGGCTTCATTGTAAAAATAACAAAAGCTTATTCTTTTTTTAAAAAAATACTCCACTGCCTCCATTGCCTACTACTTATTCAATAATAATTAAGTAACTAACGAATTTCCACCATTTATCTATCAAGAAAAAGCTTTGGCCTATAAAACAACAAAATTTGCCTGCTTAAACAGTTTCTTTATTAAAAAAAATCATCAAAAATTGTTTACAAAATATTAACTACTACAAAAACAATTGCGTTCTACTACAACATTTTAAATAAGACAAATCTATTTTTTAAAACAAATTACAAAATTTTAAACTGACTAATGAAAATTTCAAAAAAAAAAAAAAAATTAATTAAATTACAAATGAAACAAATATTGTCTTGAAGGTCAATACCAATTGATAATGATCACTATGCCATTGTACACTCACGTCCTGGCTCAAGGCATTCCGGTGTACAAGGAACCCGTGCTCGAGGACCAACTACGACAAGTTGAATTGAAAAAAAACAAATATAATAAATTTTTGTTTAAATAAAATAAAATTAAATTATGTAAATAAGCGACAAAGTTTATAAAAAAACAAAAATATTTAAATTTAAGTTAAAATTGAAAATTGTGCGTTCAAAACGAAACTAAGGTGGGGTTAAAAGCTTAGATATTTTTTTATATTTTAAAAGAAATTGAAAACTTCCGGTATATGGTAAATAAGCTTTTATTTTGAAAACAAGCTTTTAAAATTATTATTTTAAACTTATGAACGTTTTAACATGTAAAGCTTGCAAAACAACTTTTAAGCTTTAATAATTTAAAAGCTTTTTTAAAATGAATTTCTTAAGTTTGTGGCTAAAGTTTTAAACAAAAGCTTTTTTTATCAAATACCTGACATTTGCAGTTAAAATTTAAACAATTTATCTAAGCTTTCACAAAAGCTCTCCCATTTTCTTTGTTGTTATTGGCAGAGTTGTATGTAAATTTTGATTTAGAAAAGTAAAATATGTCGCAAAAAAATTGGCTTCAATATTTTTTTTTTCACTTATAAATAAAATTTATTAATTAACTTTTCTAATAATTATTTACTTTTGTATTATATATTAAATATTATTTTTATTTTATTAATTAAACATTTAAAATTTTCTAATTTATAAGAACTAAAAAATTTATTAAAAATTTTTTTATTTTGTATTTAATTCCAATAAAATTAAGTCATTAGTAAACATAAGTTTTAAGTATTTTAAAACAAAAGCAAACAAAAAATTAAAAAGAAAACAATTTAATAAAAAACTAATTTTTGTAAAATTAATACTGATGGTATTGTTAATAATTGTAATATTGATATATTTTTATTATTATTATCTTTATAAGTATGGATATAATTAATAAAGAAAAAAAATAAATATTAAAACAAAAACTTTTAAACTATCATAATTATATAAAAAAGTAATAATCAAAATTTAATAAATACAACTGACGTAGTTAGTTGTTAAATTTAAATAATTTAAAATTAAATTTCACAGTCATAAAATAATTATTGTTAGACAATTGCTGATTAAAGTAAAGCAAAGATATGACTCAATATTATTTAAAAATAGTAAAAATTCAGGTGATAATTAAAAATTTTATTAGAGGCCAGCTTTTAGCTATTTATGATGACGCCATCATTGACTGAATTTTCAAATAATTTCTAAACTAAATTTGAAAGATTAGTCACTTATCACTGAGTTAAAGAAAAATTTCTAAAAATTGTATATTTTGTTAGAAAAAACTTAATGTCTAAAAAATTATATTCGTAGAGAAGCTTTTAAAGCTTTCCCTAACATGTTGCCAATTAAGCTTTTCATATAACGAAGCTTTTAATAATTGACTATTAGCTCCCAAAGCTGAGGACTTTGAAAAATTAAAATTACCAAAAAAAAAGCTTTCTTCTAAATGTTCTTTGTTAAGCTGTAATTTTAAAGCATATAAATGAATTTGCTATAGCTATTTGATCCCCAAAATCGATCTCTTTTGAACCCTTTAAAGACTCCTTTAAAATGTTTAAACCATATAATCTCTGATAAGTTAATGATGACCTTTCTCTCTATCCCCTTCTCTCTTGGGTATCGAAGAATCGATCAATAATGTTTACGTGTACTTGTACTTGCAATTTAGTGGCCAGTAATAATCTCAAAGTCGGCAAAGAGTTAGATGTAATTGTCAAAGTCGTTAGCAGCAATATCGTCCACAACACTTTTTCCAATCTGGACATAAAATGATCGGTTAGACTTTGATCTTGAACTCTATGGAGTCAAAACTAACAACCATTCAACGATTTAAAATGTCATGTTCGAAAACTGATTCTCTGTCTCGGATAATATCACCTGCAATTATAGTCTCTTCTTACACAATTTGCTATGGGAAGCATCAGAATAGGCTAAACACGAGGAAATTATCAGATTTCCATTATAAATTCAAGTTCTGTAATTGATTTATAAACATATAATGTTCCATATTAGTTTATATCTGAGTGGATATCAGTCGTTCGTTGAGTTTAGAACACTTGTTCAAAAACCTGTAGAGTTAAACAAGGAGTACCACAGGGCGGTGACCTATTCCCCATACTGTTTAACTTCCAACTCTGTAAATTCCCCACACCTCCACAAGGTGTGGAGGTTTTATCATATATCAGTTGTAATACAGTTTCAGTTTACTTCTAGTTCAGTTGTAGCTCAGTTGTATTACAGTTCTGGTTCTGTTTTGTTAATTTTTTTTAAGTTCTAGTTCAGTTGTAGCTCAGCGACGGGTCAAAACGTTGATGAGCTTTGTGATCTAGTGTATGGTTATCACGGAGAAATACAACATTTCTTCACTGGATGTAACCTGAAACTATCACCAGCGAAGTCTTTAGTAACACTTTTCATCACCTGGACGAAGGTGGTAAACATGAAATTAGGCGTCGTAATCGATGGAACCCAAATGCCGACTGTGAACCAACTAACAAATTGGGTCACTTTTGACGGCCTTTTTACCTTCTCAGCTCATGTCACTACAATTACGAACAGATTGCGAAGTATAAACAGGGCCCTCAAAGCGTTAGCGATTGGGGAATGGACAAAGAAATCTTGTTGGCTACCTATAAAGCAATTGGCCGATCAGTTGTCAATTGTGCTACTCCAGTGTTTTCTCTGGGTATTGATTATTATACCTTCCCAACTACTTTTTTTGGAAACAATGAAGAAGTAGCTATCTGAACTCTTTTGGAGAATTTTTGCTAGGGCCAATAGGTGAAAAGTTACACTTATTTGAATAAAAACCTGTATGTCCAATTTTGACCCCTCTAACTACTAACCTTGGTGCAATTTTCATCCAAATCGATTTTTATATCCTACACCACTTTAGTGGGGAGGGTATATAGGGTTTGTGCTGAAGATTGTAACATACAAAAATATTTGTCCTATACTCACCTTAAAGTATACCAATCGGCTTAGAATCGTTTTCTGAGACGATTAAGATATCCGTCCGTCTGACTGCACAACTATGTTTTATATAAGCCAAATTTCATAAATATCGGGCCTCATTTAACCCTAGCTCCCATACAAAGTCGCCTTCAGAAAATTACTTGAATGTCTAATATTAACTTATAAACACAAATATCGTGATGAAATTCACCACAAATAAATATTATATAAATATATTCACAAAACTTTATCGGGCTTGGTCCATATTTGCCTCTAGCCCCCCTTAGGTATAAAGCTTCATTCAGAAAATTAGTTTTTCGTCCATAAATTGCTTAAATGTATCGGAACAAGGTAATATTGAAGATAAATGCTTTATTATGAAAAATAAATCACAATCAATATTCATAACTGGTGTAGGATATCATATGGTCGGTCACGCCCGACTATACTTTCTTACTTGTTTTAATTGGGTCAATTGATACGAAATTGTCCATATAGTATGTATGTTATATCTCTTTCAAGATCTAGACTGTCTCAGAGATGTGTCACTAATGGATCCAATAACGTTTGTTATATACCTATATCGTTTAGTTTCCTCGAGGAAAAGAAGATTTTCAATATCACGCTATCGACAATTTTTATTTATTTATTTAAAATTCATCCCCCTCAGTCACCAATATCCTTGCATAGGGAGACATTGCTGAAGGTCTTTAGAAATCTTAAATACTATATACTGCATCTGATATAAGTTCTTAAATTGCCTCACGATCCTGGATTTTTAATTTCTATTCATTTTCAAAAGTTTTGCACTAAAACAATGAATACTTTTCAAACTCTGTTTTTAGTAAAGCTAAACAAAAACGTGTTAAAATTAGCGGTTAAAATGATGAGTAACAAAACTAAAGAGCAAAATAAACAAAAAGCTTCTTTCAATAACAAACTATAAAGTTTTACTCCCTCTCTTGATATTCTACGAGTACAAAACCACATCTAAGTACTTCAACTCATTATTATCCCACATTCAATTTAACGTTTTTATACATATGTATTTATTACAATTATAAATTTTTTGCCTTATCTGGCAACCCCTTTGTCAAGCATAAATTGCAAAAAAAAACGACAATAATTCTCAGAGATACAAACTACGAGTCCACTACTAAACAGTCACTAAATGTCGGCGGTAGCGAGTGGTTGTGCCTTTAATCTGCTAAAATAAATTCAAATAAATGTCGTTGTCGTGCCGTTAAGTGTGTTGTTACAAAGCGTGTCATGTAAAGTGTTGTTGTTTTGCAGTTTAAAAAAACAAACAAAAAAATAACAGAAATATAGAATAAAAAAATATAATTAATAATTATTTCAACAAAAAAGCAAATTTACATTGCTGTTTAATTGCAGTTATTAAAAAAAGCAAAAAGTTTAAAAGAAAGTCCGTCACTTTTTTTAATTTAGAATTAAATAAATAAAATGTGAGTGTATGAGTGTTTTTAAAAATTGTTTTTTTATATCTAGTCTTTTTGTGCTAAATTGAATTCAAAGAAATTTGCAAACAAAAGAAATCTTTCCAAATCTCTTCCAGATAACAAATATTTTTCACAAATTTAAAACCAGTTTAAAAAAGTTTGTTTTTAGTAAATATCCAAAGTGTATAATGATGATTAATAATTTCCATTTTACTTGGCTTCAGTTGAAAGTGTCTAAAGAACAAAAAAATCTTTTTAAGCTCTTGTTCTTCCTATTGTTGTGGTAAAGCATCAGAGATGAGCAAAACTGCTAGATGTAATAGTGAAGAATAGTACCGCAAAAAGTACTTCTGTTAACCTACCCTGTGTACCCAAAAGTTTTGTTTCGAAAACTTCTACTAAATGTTTACAGTTTTTAACCCTTTATCGACCGTTGCATGATATATGAGACTATGCTGATGTCAACTTATTTTTTTCAGAACTATAGTGAAATTATCAAAGTGAAGATTTACTGTACAAAGAAGCGTTAAGACATTGTACATATTTCCGACATTTCAACGTTCTGCAATGACTATATTTTCGTTCTTAAGGACGAGATTGGATAATTCCAAATCATTAAAACTTGACAATTACATATTTCGCATTCTCAATCGGATTAAGATCGAACAAATAATAAGAAGATAATGAAGTCTGTTCTAGATCTTCAGATTTCTTAAAGATTCAAAGATTGCAATTAAGCGAATCATTCATGCTTAGCCCATTATCCAACAATCTTAGGCAATAATGGAGTGAATATGACCAAAGAATTTGCCTCCGGAACAGCATTTATCGTGTTGCTACCGATATTCTAATAATCCCCAATCTTCCAATTGCCATGACAATTGGATCAGGGCTCCGGCACGATCTGATTCATAATTCACAACTCAGGAACAGTTATATCAAGCGGAAGTTCCTTCGTCAGTCCATGCAATTACCGTGACAATTGGTTCATGACTCCGAAACGATCAAACTCACAATCGGCAACTCAAGAACTGCTACATCAACCGGTAGTTCTTTTCACAGGGAACAACTCTTAATGACAGTAGAACTGATAATACAACAACTAAACTATCTTTCGAAGACAATAAATAAAATCTTCTTATAAGTGGCCCCTAAGAAAGTCATCTTGGCACGAAGCACTTTCATAAGTAATCATTTGATCACTTTTTTCGGTATCCGAGGTTTTTGTCATCAAGGGATGTCAAATGGCCCATTCTAAGCTTCCGTTTAAGGTTAATGATCTAAAATTTGTTAGATAGATTTGGAAACTATTTGAAATGCAGTTCTTATCTCTCACAGTATTATACGTCTCGCACTTTATCAGAATTCCGAACTTTCTTCGTTGCCTCCTAGGTACCCAAGTCCTATATTTTGGTTCTGTATTCATGTTGATTTTCATTAATGTATAATATGTCATCTGATCTACTCAGAGCTCTTGTTTAAGATCAATGCTCTATTATTTGGCAGTCACTTAAAGCATATCATTCTTGGATAATCCAGACTTAGAACCGTTGTAATACCGTGAACATATCTTTCTAATCTTCTTGGTTAAAGAATGAGTGAGTATTACCTAAAACGCTTTCCGATAATTGCTGTACAGTGTATACGGTTATCACATCACTGTTCTTAAACATTGAGATCAACGTTGCCTATTGTCGTCTCGTTGCCTAAGAGAGTCGTTATATTTCGGTTTGGTATCCATGTTGATCGTCAATATTCCTTCACTTCCTGGTTAACGTTACTTCTGGTCGCCTCGTTGCCTTAAGAAAGTCGGAATACTTCGTTTTGGTATCCATGTTGCTCGTCAATATTCCTCCATTTCTTGGTTATCGCTGCATTGTAGACATCACGTTCCTTAATAAAAACATGAATATTATCTTTGAGTGTTTGATAGCCAAGCTATTTTTGTTTGAAATCATCAGAGCAGAAGAGTCGCAGAGAAGTTGTTCAGTTAGTTGTCTTTATTATACATAGCTCAGTTGCTTCCTACGTATTCACAAAGTGTCTGAAATTTTCTTAGTCGATGTGGAATTTCATACCCATCTCTTTAGGCAGGTTTATCGCATCTTATTCGTTTGAGAAATAGTAAAGTAGTCCCACCATCTTTTTATTCTACTCCTTTACTTGCCTTAAATTGGTCCCCACAAAAAGTACTTTTATGGCCTGTTTTTATCCATTTCTAAGTGCCTTCTTCTTTGATAAATCTTCTTCTGTCACACTTCTTTTGTGTTAATCACTCACTATTGTTATTATTATTTTTCTCTTTATTTATGTAGTTGTACTTCAGAGAAGATTCTGTGTTTTTAACAATAAATCAAATAATAAATAAATAAATAAAAAGCAACAAAAGAATATTCACGAAAAAAAGAGCTTTAAAAAAACCAAAATTGTTAGTAACCGAGTAAAAAAGAGTAAGAAATGAGTACTATAAATATTCATGTTTGTGTAAGTGAGTGTTAAAAATCAACGTCAAAATTGTTGCGTAAAAATTAAAAAAAATGTTTTTCCTCAAATAAAAACAAACACGGAACCATACCACTACTAGAAATTTGTATTTTTATCTGTCTATCGCTATTACGTTCTATGGCCGAACCAAGCGTCTAGTATTTGTGTTTTTTAGATTTGTTTAAAATGTTTTTAACAATTTTAACCTTCGTTGGTATGTAAAAATGTTTGTAAATGATTTTATACATACTTCGAATGTTCAATTAAATGTTGTGGAAATACCATATTTCCTACCCTCCACTCCCTTTGACCTCTCTCGCGGCATTCTCGCCCTATAACAGTGTTGCTCAAACACATACTACCATAGAGTACCATAGTTTTATTTGTGTTGGTAAAGCAGCAGAGAACAGAATTCAATTCAAAATAAAAGTATACTAATAAAATGACTATAAACTATAATGTATATGCTAACTGTCAAATGTTTATTATGGATTTTGACAGCCAGCGTATTTCAAAGCCTATATATAAAAAACTAACAACTGTTCTCTCATGTTCTCCTACATTAATTCGGCTTTCTTAAAATTTTGTTGTTGTATTTCTGTGTGTATTTTAAAAACGTCGCGTACAGACCTTGCTTCGACAAGTGCTGATCAGCAACTGATTTGATTTTGTTTTTCAAGTTGAGAGCAAACCCACTGATATTGCTCATTATAAAAAGAAGAAGAATTAAACCTATAGTGTATGTGTATCAACTTAGCGTCAGCAGAATTTTCTTACCCTATCACGCGTGCTATGTAATGGCAATCTTGCGCTCCTCTGCCCTATAATATTTTATTGCGAATTCGTATTATTGTTGCCGTTTGTGTGTTTTCAAGTTATTACGTTTAATATTCCGTTGGTTGAGTTTCAGCTAAAATGATTCAATCGTATGACGACACATGTTCTAATGTATTTTTATTTGGTTTGGGTTTTTTTGCATATTCAGGGTATTAAGAGAATGTAATCTTAAAATGGAGGAAAAAATTATTTCACCAAAATTTCTTAAGAGTGTAAAACTTCTTAAGAAAGTAACGATTTTGGTTTTAAGATATAGTTTGAAAGAAGGCCTTTATCGGGCCTGTTGTGCGCTACTAGACCACTAACCTACCGGAGGCCACTTTTTTAAGAGATAAAGGAACTTGAAATTGACTTATAAAGTAAGAAACTTTACAATTCCATGACTGGTTGTGATCGCTTATTCTCGTTTCTTTGAAATAAACTCACTAAACGTTCCAATTCCTTGACTGGTGAGATTTTAGAGGACCATAACACCTTAGAAGGAAAGGAAGGAAATTAACCGTTACCAAACTTATCCCGTGACTTGTTCTTAAAGAGTTTGGATTGGTAGGAATCAGGAGAGAAGAAGGAACTGTTACTAGCTTCATACAAAGGGAATCTGTCACTTTGACATGGAATATCCAATTGTTAAGTTTACGAGAAAGGTCTCGGAATTAAGCTGAACAAAACTGTTGTAACTTTTCCTAAGTAATTAGACCTTCGCCCAAAGACAACCAACCCTATTGCTAAGAGTCCAAAGATTGTCTACTCAGTGACAGGTGTATCTGCCAAGCAACTTATGATTTTTGATTAAATAAACATGCCCAACGATATGTCTCTTTTCATCAGTCACGTGGCTACTTAGTTCTTTTAAAAGAATAAACACTTTTGTTTAATAACACTCCTTTCAATCTCTGCTAATGTTAAAGTTTTTATGATTTCTTTTACTCCCGATTTGTTTTCTATAGATTCTATAAGTTCGCCGTCTACATCGTTATTTTAATGGCAACAACGACAACAACAATTTATACATCCATACATTACACTACACATTTTACATGACCATTACATGAGTGTGTATGAATGTAAAATGTATCAGTGTCAGTGCACCATTTCTTTATTTTATTGTGCTTTTTTCGAGTGTTTGTTGTTGTTCTCATTTCTTCTTCTTTTCACTCTTCGATAGGTTTAGTTCTTCACTTTGTTTATGTTTATTTTGTCACATTATTTCATATTTGCACGATACGTAACAGGGTTGGAAAATTGAGATGCTTAAAGAATTTAGAGCATAATTGCCCTAGGGCAATATAAATCGACTTTTCACACAAATACAAGAAGAAATTTAAAAAAACCGGCAAAAACACCCAACAGTTTGGCAAGACAATCCCTAAGAAGTCAATCGTCATTCCATAGATTACAAGGAGACAGTCAGAAAGTTAGTACAAAGGTGTCAATGCATGGCAATGAACATTTTTGCTTGAGTTTGTTTTTTAGTATCCTCTCTCTAGATTACTTGGGAACTGTAAATTGAGGACTGCTTCAGCTCTTAATTACTAAGGGGACACTGAAGTGACGACAGTCTTCACTCTCGAAAGATTAATTACTGGTTAGGTGGTTAGACATTACTGTGTTTTTCGGACGCAGTGACTCTTTGTCGAACTGCTGAGCATGTATTTGCCTGTACTAATACTTTGACGAATAATGCT